CAGAGACGTTACCACTGGGCTAGCTGAGCCGCTGCCTACCTCCAGTAGGACTGAGATGTAATTACGATTGATTGATTGATTGATCACTGGGTGGCGATCAATGTCATGTATATCAAGTCCCTCTTAGTGCAGATCGATTACTATCGACCAAGTTGCAATGTGGCCACTAGTCTAGATGACTCGACATTGAATGCACTATGTTGAGATAATATGGTGATTAGAGGTAGTCAACAGAAAACGTACGTGTTTTTCCTTGCTTATTATTGCCTTTGTAATGTAATTTGTTTACGGAAATACTTCTTTTAAATTATGATGTATGGGGAAATTATAGTCAGCTTCTTAATTTCTGATAAATATTACGAATATCTATTGAGCTACTTAATTAAAAGTTAGTAGTCAGCGTGTATGTATCTGTTTAGTTTTCAGTACGAAAGGTTTGGATTAATTCAATAGAAAACTATCCTCCATTAAAATGCTAACAAGAGTTACTTAATGTGATTGATTGAACAATTATAAACATTAGAAATTTCGTAGTTCTCAGTACTGAGTTTAAACCTGAGTCATATTTATTACTTTGGAGTTAATAAAACTCAGTTATTGATTGAGATCATAAACCGATTGATGTTAGACCACCACCTTTGGAAACCTGGAAGCACTGGACGGCCGTTTCGTCCTATTATGGGACTCCTCAGCAGTGCGCATCCACGATCCCGCGAGCCGGATTCGAACCTAGGGCCTTCGGTCTCGCGCGTGAATGCTTAACCAACTGGACCACTGAGCCGGCATCCAATGGTGATAGTTTCTAACATCAACCAATCCACGAAATTGCGCGACCAACTTCCGTTGTACTGAGGTAGATACCTGTCTCTACCCGACAAGGATCCCAATCAAAAACGTAACAATCTCCACAACCCCTATACTAGTAAAACTTTGTTAGTTTGATTTATACAAGCTACAGTCTTTCTCAGAACAGATTACTGTTAATCAATTGGTTGAATACATGATTTGAGAAACTAAACATTGTAAATACTAAATATCTTGTTTAGTGAGTGTGTTGAAGCCCACATCAACATTACAAGTTTCTTATTTCCTAAACCACGATTTCCTTCCCAAACTTTATTCTTTTGAGTATCTGGGATTGTATAAAATGTTGGACTACACTACATTTAACTAATATCTATGTATGTATGCATTATAATGTAAGACTGATAAATAAGCCTGTTTTCAGACATAGATTGTAACCTTTATTTTATTAATTCATAACAAATATACATGTCCTGCCAAATGTTGCAAGAATATATAGTTATGTTGGCTGAGAAAATAGCAATATTATCAAGGTAACTACGGCAAAAATAAAAGATTCTTGACCAATAAAAGGTCTGAAAATTTCAAGTGCATCTTTAAGATCAATGATATGTCGTAGAGATTGATAGAACATTAAACAGCATTGATTAAATTGATGAATGAAATGACAATCAAACTATTATTAAGGCATAGTTACAACTAGTTACTAAGGCATAAACATTCCGGACAGACAAGCCCGGATATATATAAATTAGTCACAAAACAATCCGTTGAAAGATTTCTCTATATTTATACATATATATTTCAAATTCTATCTTAACATATTACTAGTGTAAAAGAGAAACAATGTAATTCAATGACTAATTTAACATTAATTCAGTAACTTAGATGAATCTAGCTACTTGATAATATACCCGTATTGAATAATACATTATGATAGATGATGTGTGGGTGAGAATGATAATGATTGGTTGTCTGCTTAGTCAGATATACAGATAGTCTGACAGGTTTTAGGTGGATTGTGTCGGATAATTGTCGGTTTCCGGTGTGGAAATATATATTTACATTTTAGTCAGGCTAATCACATGTTCGTGATCATCTGATTTGTGTTGAATTCCTGTAGAATAGACAATGGGAGGGAATTTAATGTAGATATTCGTTTAAGGTAACTTAACATGCCATACATATAGATGAAGTAAAACCAAGAATTCTAACAATAGATAAGAATAAAATAATCTTTATTATTAAAAACCAAAATAGTTTACAATTATGTTACTTTTAAAATATTAAATTCCATTCTCATTAACTTTGCTTCACAGTCAGTCAACTACAACGTAGGATCAGGCACATATAAGCATCGGTTCAAGTTGACATATCTCATTAGCACAACAAGATGAACACCAGATCTATAGATTATACTCATTGTTTTGCTTTTTTTGTTGCTATAATTCAACAGACATAATTTCTCTATTTTAATTAAGTTGTAAAATGAATACACGTAATCAATAATTAAATGTTTAATAATAAACCGTGACCAGTGGAGTTATTCCGTGTCGAGTAGAGACAAGTATCTACCTCAGTATAGTGGAAGATGGTGGCGCAATTAAGTGGGTTGGCTGAGGTTAGACATTAACACCATTGGATGCCGGATCAGTGGTAAATTAGGTTAATCGTTCGTGCGCGGGGCTGAAGGCGCTGGGTTCGAATCCCACGAGCGGGGTCGTGGGTGCGCACTGCTGAGGAGTCCCACAACAGGATGGAACGGCCGTCCAGTGCTTCCAGGTTTTCAATGGTGGTCTAACACCAATTGGTTCAAGATCTCAATTAATAATAAGTGTTAACTACTATATTCAATTTACAAGTTGCATTAACTAAGGGTGGATGGCCTAACTAAGATGTGGTACCAATCGCTGAAGTTGTTTAATGTTGGCCTGAACAGTGTAGTAGTCTGTGTAATTGATTGTAACCAGCAGTTCAAAAAGGGGTTCAGAATCTGTCTCAATGACGTTCGATCTTTGTATTCCCCTAGTTATTGATTCCTTCTTCTCGAATCATACTATTTATTAACTATATTTCCTACATTGATTATGACTGAGTGAATAGAGTCAAAATCATTAGCCATTATTAGTTGGGTGGTGTTAGGCAGTCGACAAGTAGCGCTGGTCCCAGGTTACGTTCATTATATCAAGTAACTGGCTTTAAAAGGTAGTCAATCCTATCCGACACTAAAATTAGGAAATATTGGGTTTGGATTGCAAAATGGTCGAATATTTTCACAGGATAAAGATTTAATTAGCTTATTAACATTTTAGAAAAACTAATTGGTGATAGACCGGTAATTCCTAGATACATCGTGTGCTGTCTCAAACCTAAATGGTAAGTGAGAAGTGAAAACGAGATGTACTATTGGAGTAGGTGAGTTGAGTATATGGCTATGGTCCTAGTCTACACATCGTTGTCCGAGTCACTAAGGATTAAAACAATTTATACGTCAGTTGTTAAGTTTTGGCAATTAAACCTTTCTACTCATTTCAGTCTTTTTTATTTCCGCAGTGAATCTGATAAGTTATTTGGAAAGTATTATTGTAACTAGATCGGACTGTAGACCAAGATCGCTAGACAAAACGAGTATATATCACAATCAAAACATAGTATTTCAAGATTTCAGGTACTTGTTGTTGAAGGTTAATAAACGGAAATTTCCTCATCCATTTGTAAAGGTTTGAATCCTCTGTAGTTAATGTTATGGACCACAATTAGTCAATACCTTCTGAGATGACTGACTTGATATTGACTACGTGAATAACGCCTAGAGAGTTTGAAGCGGAAGCCACTGGGCCTGAGTCCCAATGTAAACATCAACACTGGGATAGAAGTTCAGATGACGAATAACAGATAGGGCGAACCTTGTGTCTTGAATCCCACTACTAGTCACTAACCTTGCATAAGAAATGAGATTTATCTAAAATAAATAAGCCTCTAAACATTTAGAGGAGAACTGAATAGAAAATTGCGTTAAAATATCTTATTGAGGAATTTCATCTTAATTTATAGTAGACAGAATTCTTGATTCAATCCATAGACGTTAAAACAAGGTGATACATTTTACAAGAACTGAATGAATTACGTCTGTTTTAATTGCATTTAGAGAACAGACAATTTACCTGAAATTTTGAGTTAGTTTATAGAAACGTTTTATAAAGATATTTCTATTCCACTAGGAAAAGAAGACTGATACTCTTTGATTGAAGGTAGGCCCAATACTAACTAGCGCCTAACAAAAAGATGGAACACAAGACCACTGACCACCAGTCTAAGATCGTTATTACATTTCATACAGACGTACCTTATGTACAAGCAGATCAGACTGCATCACACCATAAAATAGAGAATGATTGTTGTTTCGCGTTCTTTTTTTCTGGTTTTATATGATTACATGTAAATTTTAACTGGACTGGAATTGGCCTATTTCATACCGTTTATTCCTCCTCTTTGGAAACATGATGTATCAGTCTTCCTATTACGGAAACACCGGTTCCTATACGTTGTAGCATATAACAACTGATAGCCAGAAAATCAATCACAAATCTTAGTACAGTCCATAAGTTTCGTCAGACCACAGCATCTTCATTAGTTCTAATTCAACAATCCCACCTTTTCCCCCACAAATGTAGGGTGTTTTATGATCTTACAACCCACTACATGTCTAAACACAGTAACAATGGCCCCCAGTTAGTGCTGAACAAAAGCATGTTGTGAAAAACCGAACTGTAACACTGGAGAAGAAACAGTTTAGTCTATTTTTCTTGGCGTAAACGTAACATCTATCATTTCAAAACGCTCGTGACATTGTAGTTATGGTACTTACTCAGCTTATTTATGTTCTTCATATATTATCTATTTAGAACAACATTGTGTTTACAATGCTTACGGCTTTCAAGGTATGTATTCAGAAAATAATGATGAACTCTAAGATGCCATCTCTGATTAGGCATTTCGCTTGCACCTCACACTTCACAGTATTAATATATTTATGACATATTTACTGTCAAAACAATTTATCAATCACATCTCACATAATCTACCCTCATTTTTTAAATGTTATTATTATTTTCAAAATATATTACTACTATGTCTTACTGCCTCGATTTTGGCAAATATCTTCAACCAAATGCAGATTTACAAAATTGTATATTGTCCTTATCTACTCTCCAAATAGTCATGATTAATAACTCGGTGATAAGATTGCCAAATGGTTGGTCTAATACAACTAGTGTCAATGAAGCTAATATACACCTATATGTACATAGGATACAAAATGTAGCAATCTTTTCATTGTTTCCAAATGGAAATTTTCAATGTATAAGAGTAAATGATATTGTCTACTATTTTAGACTAGGTAAATTTGAAGAAATAACCTTACTGGTTGATAATTTAAGCAGTAAATTTATATTAAGATTAATCTTTATTGAAAAAGAAAATGCCAGTCAAAATATGTCACAGTAAATTTAACTTCACTTACAGTAGATTAAGCAAACCGAAATAACGAAAAAAAAGTTCTTTTTACATGAGTCTATTGTCAAAATGCAACAAAATGTTCTTAGTGTACATTAATTAAGAAAACAGCATTTCACTGGTAATAAACAAGACATAAATTATTTGTCAGGAAATTAAAATAAAATTTGAATAAATATAAACTAGTAAATGAAGTCATAAACTGAAGATACAAACCGGAAATCAAATAAATTATTTACATTTACCTAAAACCTGGTAGGAAAAGTAGGCAAATTGAAAAGCAGTATTTATTATAAGCTGGAATGTCTTCGAAAAAAAGAACTTATTATCACATAGAAAAGATTACTTCTTCTCATTCTCAATAATATGTAAACCCTCACTTAGAACAGATGACCATGAACTATCGTCAATTTTTATGAGAATAATTTCCACAGCATCTTCACGTACAATCAATTGTGACCGTTTATTATCTAGTGTGCCCGGTAATTTGTTAACATGAAGTCGATAATTACAGTCTTTTAAAGTATCAAGCCCATGAAATTCAAACAGAAAACCATCATTACTTAGATGAAATACTATTTCACCATTTGATGCTTTTTTGTAAAGTTTGGGAATAAGTTTTTTATGAAATTCTAATATAGTTGATGATTTTAAGCCATGAATTTGTATAGTAATACGTAATTTGTTTGTTGCTAGACTTGTATCTAATGCGTAATTTGGTACTACTGAATTATCATCACGACTTGAATATGCCATAATTTGAATAGATCTAAAAGTAAACCGGTGAGATAAGAACAAAAAGGTGATTACTAACGAAGTTGATCAATGTAATAATGAAACATTCACTTTCAGATACTATTGATACAATGGCGCTGGACACGCCAGAATTTTGAACACGTCATAGATCCTGTGTCACCATGAAAAATTCTAATGAGTGAACGTGTTGTTGAACGCATTAGAATGTTTACCCAGAACAAATAAAGTATGAAGGAACGAATTGAGCGAAGAAATTTCTTTTCAATTAGTTTTTCATCATGGCTCTACACTAATATATATATATATATATATATATATATATATATATATATATATATATATATATATATATATATATATATGTTTTACAGCAATAATATAATACTCATCGAGTAGATACGTTCGTTCCTTCTTTATTTACCAAATGGCAAAATAAAGTATGATTTAAAAATGAATGAAATAAAATTCCACCTGCTAATAGATGATGTATGTTCGGAATAATAATGTTGAATGCAGTGTAAGTTGTTTTTGATGATTGAGAAATTTCATTTAGTCCGTTTCTTAGCATAAACGTACGCCTAACCACGGATGTGTATAGGTTTAAGTTGCCACACACCACATCAGACCAGTTGTAAAGGAAGCTGATAAGATGAGTAAAAGAACTGAACCTCCTTGGACGAGTATCAAAAATTAGAAGATACAGCGCTAAGAGATGAAATTAAATCGAAGAATGACGAATGACTAATCAAAATTGACTCAAGATCCATATCATAAGGAATGCCAAAGCACCATTGCGACTGATCTTGCGGTATATCATATAACGCCTTCAACTGTGGATCCTGAATAACACATGGGCTCCAACTAGAAAGGTCTGAGCACAACAGCACGATTCACACAGCTAGTCAGTGACTATATGAATTCATGACAAGTTTCTATCTGCTTGCCCTGGTTTTAAACCTACTACGTTATCAACAAACACTAAAACTAGGAATGAACGGGTACTTTAAGTGGACTCCAGGATATGCCAATCGATAAGAATTTTAGGAAAGTCGTTTAGATCCATCTTGAAATATTAACGTAAAAATGTAATACGGAGAAAGTGGCCACAAAAGACATTTTGTTTAATCGAAGCTTTCACCGACAAGACTCATATTCAAGAGCGACGGAGCATTATAATGCTCTGCAAATGTCATAACATTTCCAAGCTCATAATAGGATGTCTTGAAAGTAGTGATAAGAATCCAAGTGATTATGAATGGAATAAAAGAAGTGGTGAGACTAAATTTATGGAAGACTTTAAAGCGATATTAAGGTGGACTAGAAAGACTTCAACCAATTATTAGGACCAGGAAAAGTTTTAAAATAAATGTGAGGAATTACAACTAGCTGTTTGTGCTTAAAGCCAACGATTCAAGTCGGGTTTTCTACCACGAACCGACATCAGCTATAATGCCAAAATGCTATCTATTCAGATGGATTGAGGTTGTGCGAATAATTAAGTAGTTTTAACTTTAACCTCATCAGTCCCTTCATAATCCATAGTCCCACTATATAAGAGGCAAAAAAGAAATATCAGTCAAGAAGAATGACGTACTATCTTGAATCATCGGAATGTACCCAATCTCCCTATTTTGGGGTTTTCCCCAAAGCTTGAGGAAATCAACAACGTTTTGGGGATGTAATGCCAAAACTTGCCAAACATCACAACTTAATCAACCTTTAGACACTAAAGCACTTTATACTTGGAGTTAATTGCAGACTAAAAGCAATTTTAAACCAAATTTACGGTATCTCCTCACTGTAACGCCTAACTATATACAATTTGCGTCCCCCAAGGTTAGTCAATTTCAAAATTCAATAACGAACATAATTGTGACGAGCTTGTATGAAACGGTCAGTTCCTTTGCGTTCGCTCTTTTGTGTTTCAGTACGATTAAACGTCTTCAGCAATGCTCAGTTAGAGGTGTTCAGTCACTCAACTCGAATATTTCTAGTCATTTTAGTAGATATTTATGTGTTTGGGTATTATGTTCGTTCCACAACAGTATGGTTCCTGGCACTATCAGCTACCGCATTACCACGCATTGTTTGATTAGCTATAGTTTGAAAAGGAAAAAAGAAAAAATCTGAGTGTAGGAGAGCTAGGCGAAAGTGATCGTTTAAAGAGACAAATAAGTAAAGCAATTAATTATGCCAAAGATTTGAGAAACCCGAAGTGTAACCACAAGTAGACGTAGTTGAGGGTTAAAGAGATAAGACTAAAGTGATGATATCTGATTATGATAAAAGCAAATAAATCACAAGCTATTCATTAGAGACCGCTTTTCTAAACAGGAGATGAAATTCCGTGAGCAATCATTATCAAATATCCTCGTGAAGCAATAGCCTTAGGTTGCTGTAATCCTTTCTACCAGGACAACATGCTAAATTATCGGAGCTGTCATCAAAATAGGCGGAAGTATACCCGAGATAATTTTGGGATCGACTCGTCGACCGTGTTGGTGAGGTTTTGGTAGGATATATGTGTTGGGGTGGCTTGGCTTGCTTAGTATGTTGTATGCCGTCGTCAGTTTACGTCTTATCCTCTTACAACTCAGAAAGGTTAACCACGAGCATTGAAGCCTATCTTCATAAGATTTCTTTCTCACCACTATCATGAATTTTCCTATTCTTTAGTATAGTCGGTCTATGAAAATTATCACTGATTTGTATCTCAGGATCAGCTGAGCATCAGCTGAGTTGCATAAGACATTGCTCAGGTATGGAAAGGTGAAATACCTCCTCTGGTACTTTGATGATCTGGAGACAGAAAATATTATTTTTGATCAATCGAAGTTATTAAGATAAAGGACATCAAATTATTCCAGTGGCATCCAACATAAGAAGAATATTTCATTTTATTGAAAAATGTAAGTCAATTTCTCAGTCTAAAAATGCTACAGATACTTTTTTAAGTCCGTAGAAATGAACTAATTGAGATTTCAAAGTTGCTTAGGAATTATTTCTAAGCTGAACGATCGTAGAGAACCCTAGGGAAGTTTTCATAGTTGGAGTAACTTCAATAAGCTTGTGAACGAACACATGGTCCTCAATTAGCTATTGATCACCAACGTAGATGATCTGTGTCGAATGACTGAGGAACTAGTCGAGTTGGATGGGAATAGCTTGACCAACCAGCTGACTTCAAAATCACATCTCATGATTAGCCCTGGACGTGGATTACCCTTCCGTCGTACCCAGGTTCCCAGCTCAACTGGATCCATCGGAGATCGAGGCGGCTCACATAGACCTTCCTATAGATGTCACTCCACCGACGATCGAAGAAATCAGGACGGACATCAGACAAATGAAGTGTGGGGAAGCAGCAGGACCTGACAATATACCGGCCAAAGCACTAAAGTCAGGCATAGACGCCAAAATTCAAGACGAATAGACAGGATTCCGTAAGGATCGGTTATGTACAAAACAAATCGCGACGTTACGTATCATCGTTGAACAATCAGCTGAGTGGAACTCGTCACTAAATATCAAATTCATTGATTATGAGAAGGCGTTTGACACTGTGGATAAAAAAACAATATGGAAATTTCTTCGGCACCATGGTGTACTTGTTATGACCGCCAATGTCATATGGAATTGACACAATAAACAACACCGCAAAGTTGCACAAGGAGGACAAGTGACAGATGCATTTTAGGTGAGGATCAGTGTCAGACGAGGATGTTTGCTCTCCCCCTTTCTCTTTCTTCTGGTGTTTGACTGGATTATGAAACCTCCATATCTGAGAGGAATCACGGAACGCAACGGACAGTTTGGATTCAACTAGACGATTTGGACTTCGCGGATCACCTAGCCCTTCTATCCCATACACACGAACAAATGCAAATGAAGACAACTAGTGCAACAGCAGTCTCTGCATCAGTAGGCATTGACACACCAAAGGGAAAAACAAACATCCTCAAATGTAGAACACCAACCCAATCATACTTTATGAGGAAACAATGGAAGACGTAGAAACGTTCATGTACCTGAGTAGCGCCATCGGCAAACAGGGAGGATAGGACGCAGACGTATAGGCGACGATTGACAAAGCAGGGACAGCATTCCTACAGTTGAAGATCATGCGGAACTCAAAGCAACTGTCAACCAACATAAAAGTTAGATTCTTCAACACAAGCATCAAGATAATTCTGCTGTACGGAAATGAAACTTGAAGAACTACCACAATGACCATCCAAAAAGTACAGGTATTTACGAACAATTGTCTACTCAATATACCCGATGTCCGTTGACCGAATACCGTCTGCAACAGTCTAATGTGGGAAAGAACAAGCCAGTGGGAAAAGAAAAGACGTTGGAAGTAGATAAAAAACACATTGAGAAAATCACCAAACTACATTACAAGACAAGCACTTACTTGGAATCCTTGAAGGAAACGGAATAAATGAAGGTAAAAGATTCCACTAAGCCGAGAATTGGAGGTGGAAATGAAAATGATGAAAAGCAACTGAAAACAACGGGAAAGGATTGTTCAGTACAGAAATGGATGGACAATACTGATGGGCAATCTGTGCTTCACTACGAGGAGTGACAGGCGTAATTAAGTTGATTTAGAGGTAATATTTGAAGATTTTAAGGCTGATGAGCTGGTTATATGAATTCGGAGGAGATTTTTTCACAGTCCATAATGTACTACTTGACTCAGTCTGTTCAGCTAGTAGTGTCAACTGAGAATAATACAGCCGCTGTCAATATTGAATCACTGTTTAATTTAGGAAGGGCTTTACAATCATGCATACTTTATTATGCCTTAGAAATCTCTCACTTTTTAGTTTAAAGGGAAACATTTCAAGAAACTTTTCCATCAGTACCCAGAATGTTTGACACTCATAGTTCACAAGCCAATTCTCGGTTTGGATACTTTAATTACCTTGTTTATCTTAAAAACTCGTTGTGATCAGAAAAACAATAAATATGTTTTTAATAAAACAGCAATATCAACAATCACTTCGAAGTAACTGCCAGTAAATAACCATTGACTCGACCTAAATATTTCACAATCGTCATTGGAATGCGTCTTTAATGATAAACATTTAAATTGAGTATTTACATAGTCGGATTATGAACGACTGCAAAAAAGAAATTATGTCATGTACAACGAATATATTTAGTTTATTTCTGATTATCGATGTAATAACGAAGACTGGTAAATGTTACTCTTCATCCTCTCAGTTAGTCAACTGGCGTGTTCTATTTATCAAAACAAATACAACAGGAGTGATCATTTGAATGAGAAGCACATTGAATTCCCACAATTATTTTGACTTTTCCAATGTGAATTTTAAAAATCCTATGTGAGAAAGAATTGAGAAATCTACACTTATAAACGTAGGCCTCACAATACCACTTGCTTCTGGATGCGTTTCTTTGTTCATCGATTCTATTCCGAAATTATCGGTGATACTCAGCTTTTTCACCCTTTAAAAAGTGGTTACATCAATGATTTACTGTGGGTAATTCACGACAACTCGCAACAGCCAGTCAGTGTTGTAAACTACCATGTTCGGGATTCTTCGTAAATCTCTTGCATTATCCCTTATTTCTGAACTATTCCTCATCAAATTTCACCAACAGACCATCAATTCACAGAAGCGATAATGTTTCAAGTGTGAAGGGATGTGCACGCGGAAGTATATATGACCATAAGATCAGACGTGTTTTGGTATTTGACAGAGTTGGTTTGGACAACAAAAAACTTTGGTACGGATTTAAATCACAATAACAAAATATTACCGTACACATATTCATACTTTTTATTTCGATATAAAAAACGTCACCTCATATTTATGTTCAAACACAAATTTTCGTTACTCAGGAGTGCGAATCCTCATTGAGTTATTTCGCTTAAAGTAGACATGAAAGATTAGGCTACTGAATTACCAAATCAGGTTGCTTTACAGTTGACTTTAAGAGATCGATTATTTTAATTTTTTGTTCAAATTCAGGTTGTGTTTTGTGTTAACGTTGTCTGAAACTTAGTTTGCTTTTTATGCTGGACTAAACCATATGGATGTTGACTTAAGCAAAATGTGGGTGTGACTGTTTGACGTTAACAAAACTAACAAGAATGGTTAAATCTAGCTAAGTGAATAAAGATGCCACATGCACTCTGAGTTTAACAACGCCTTAACCAGTAGCACCTATTGTAATCGAGATATGCCAACCCAGTCAAACCAAAATTCAGAAGCAAAGAGGTTCAAAGATATATTTGATAAGCTATCGATATATTGTAAGGTGATTAATCTAGACTGGCTAGAAGTTGCAAGAGATGTGTAGCGCGGCGTACTCACTCGTGATCTGGTGCAGATACGTGACCGAGCACCTTCAGCTAGGTGAGTCTGTAGTGGCATTGAACAATAACCGCACAATCCACAAAGCTGAACACGAGACTACTCAGAAAATAGATATTCAATATTTAACGCGGATAAATACCTAACGATGGGGAAGGCGCGAAGAATGAATTGAATGGGCTGGAGTTGATCGAGTGGCATGGCTCGGCCATGCAGGCGTGGTCTCTGCCGAATGTTACCTTATATCTTCCATTCATATTAAATATATTGTTCTTTCTCTAGCCTAACCTTGTTCTACATCATGTATTGATAATTGATACGATACAGTGAGTTGGTGTAGTCGATGGTGTGACTTCCACGTAAGATCTTATAGATTAGGCAGTTATATCATGACAAATCTACAAATTTAGGATTAGGTCTATTATTAGAGCAGTACTAATATCATAGTAGACCATAATTCTACAAGTCCAGTAAAACTAATTTGGTCAGATTCAAATGTCGAATGCTTACGAAGCTATTGATTTCGGGGATCTATTCACCTCTACATGAATATCATAGTTATATAATATACTCTTGTGGGCCAGGGTAATTTTACATTGACTTTCAAGGGAATCAGACACCATCCAGACTTTCACGTGACAACCCGAACACTACAGCTCAATCCTGTTTACCAGGAGAGCCAGACACCTCCCAAGCTTAAATTTTATAACCCGAGCAGTACATCTCAGTCCCGTTTCACAGGAGAACCAGACACTATATAGGCTTTAACGCTACAGTCTGAATGGTACTGCTCAATCCTGTGGCGCAACCATACAGGTACCAAGCACCCTGGTGGACCATTCTCATCAATCACATACACATTTACGTCACATGTGTAGTTTTCCGATCAATTATTCACAAGACGAACTGGCCAAAGTCGACCCACTCCGCTTACACAACAGTCAAACTCATTAATGATAGCATTGGCGACATGCCTTACAATGTCCCAATGACAATGGCCCTTGAGAACACTGAAAAGCAACCATTAGTATGAATGAAATCGGTCAAACAGCAAACCAATTTTGTGCATGAACATTCGGCAAAACTTGCCAAAGCAATGCCGAACCATCCACAATACCAACGGAGAACCTCCAGGCTCATATGAGACCTTCAACTTTACATAGCCATATAGCTTACATGAATATGCTGTAGTTAAATTAAAATATGATTGATCGTTAAGCGTGGACAAACAGACTACTAAGTGTGTGATTTTCTTTACTTTCATTGATTTCTACTCTGGACCCACTGAAACTGACTGCGTTTAATTGTATTTGATAAATTAGTTATCTAGGTTATACTCTGATTTTCTATTCTGAATCGTGAATCCTGGATGTGATATGACTTGACTGGTCTTATTATTGTAGTATACACGAGAGAAAGAAAAAAAATAACAACACGTTAAATCAGAATGTAACGTTCACTCTTCAGAAACTATCTCCTAGTTTGCTTTAAAATGTTAACCATTTTGTAGAAAGGTAATAATGAAGTAATGTTATGTTGTTAATTTCCCATTGAGCAGAAATGTGAATTTTCAACATTTTGTGACTTCGTGATGGTTACTTTTTCAGAGTAAATAATCATTCATTTTCTTCTAAGAATTGGCTTACGTGAAGTCATGATACGTCAAAAACAGAAGTTTCTACTTATTTGGATACTACAAATATATCATCATTTAATTATTAGCGATTTCAGAAGGGGATTTTGCGGAGATTTTTAGTAATTTAATGATTGAATTCAAGAGTCAATTAAAGCTAGAGCACCATGGAAAGTTTGGAAGCACTGGACGAACGTTTTGTCCTAGTATGGGACTCCACTCGCG